CTCTCTGAGATAGTGTTCACTCCTCTCTGAGATAGTGTTCACTCCTCTGTCATCCCTACCTCAGCAGTGCTGGTCACGCCCTTCCTCATCCTTACAGCTGTCACACACACACCCCTATAGCCTATGGTGCAGTTATTTGCACACGAAGGCCATTGCTGACTAAACTATCTCTGCATCTAGCATGTGACATACAGTCTGGTAAAACGGAGGTGCTCAATAAATTACTGTTATGTGTGTGCATTTGTGTGTACAGGTGTGCATGAACACATGCATATATGCACATGTGTGTGCAGCCAAGGTGACAGTCTTGGGTGTCCTTTCTTTTTGTTGAGACAGAGTCTCTCACTGACCTAGAACTCATCAAGTAGGCTAAGCCGGCTGGCCAGTAGCCCCAGCAATATGCTCATTTCTACCTCCCCAGCGGGGATTACAAGAGCATGTCATCATGCCTGGCTTTTTAACCTGGGGTCAGGGGATCTATCTCAGGTCTTCAAGCACTTTACCTAGGAACAATCTCATCTGCCATCAAAATATTTCTTTAATCTAACAACTACTGCTGACTGGACCTCAAAAGTACTGAACATTGAAGCAATTTCCTTTCCTCTCTTGCACCTCTTTTTCAGTTTCTAAGACACATATCTTAGGCTGGCCTAGAACTCACTGTGTAATTAAGGCTGCCCTTCAACTTGAGCAGTTCTGTCTCAGGCTTCCCTGGTGCTGCGATCACATGTGTTCATTACATCCTGTTCATTACAGTAATTTTCTAATGACTAACTGCATGCTGAATAAAATTTCATTGTAATGACTTTTTTGTTTGGAATGAGACTTAGTCTCATGTTGCCCAGGTTGGCTTTGAACTTGCTATGTAGCTGAGGATGACCTTGAACTTTGATCTTCTTGCCTCTACTTCCTGAGTGCTGAGATTACAAGTGTGTGCCACCATCATACTTGGTTTTATGTAGCGCTGGGGATTGGGCTGGGGACTGGGTTGGGTCCAAGGCTTCCTGTATGCTAGGCAAGCACTCTACCAACCAGGATAGCCCTGCAATGGAATTTTCAAACACCCTAAATTACCATGAATATTTCTTCAGCCATTTTTCTTACCTCTACTCCATTCCATACAAAGATGTCTTCCCCATCAGCAATTTCAGCTTCACACAGTGTCAGTTCATCTCCTAGATGATGAGACAGTCAATTCATTCCCCATGACCACCAAATGCAGCTAAGCTAAAGAGAGAGCTGCAACTCTCCAATGTGTATTTGAAAAGGCACTTATTAAGGAAACCACAAAAAGCAGCAATTATTTTATTATTTATGTTTTTATATTGCTTTTATCTGGACCATTCTATGGTTTTGTTAGCACAGCAGCAGGACAGGAGGGTACACAGAGGTCAACAGTCAGGCCCATGTCACCTGAGATTAGGCATAGACTCCAAATGGCAGCAGATCACCACCAATCTGCTGTGGGGTTAGTTGTCACAATATCTGGCAGGGTCCCAAATGTATGTTACTGCTCTGTCATTCTCACATTGGTTTGTTGTTCTTTCAGAGAAGTAAGTGCCTTTAGACTCTCAAGAGTTGTTTTTGTCTGTTACAAAAACTGAAGCTGAGTGGGAAATGCAAAGTCACATAAATAAAATTCTAAGGGTTTTAAACCATTTTGTTCAATCATTTGTGGTTATATATACATATGTAAATTATATATACATATGTAAATTATATATATACATATGTAAATTATATATATATATATATATGTATATATATATATATATATATAATTTACAAGTTTTGGTAGAATGGAGGCCTTAAGTTTCAAAATGTATAAAACATTCCATATTGGGAAGATGGACAGATTGCTTCTTTAAAACTCACCATGCTACCCTAATCTATGCAATCAAAAGATGGAAAGGCTACCGAGATGGCTCAGTGGGAAGGTACTTGCTGACGGTCTGATGACCTCAGTTCCCATATGGTGGAAGCAAAGAATCCACTCCTGAAAGTTGTCCTCTGACTTCCAATGGCTCCTGTGTCTCCATGTGCACACCCTTGTGCTGGTGTGTAAATACACACACACACACACACACACACACACACACACACACACACACGCACACAGATAAATGCAATTTTAAAAAGAAGGTAGGAGGCAGAAAAGACTGACAAAGAAAATTACAGATAAGTTCCCAAGATAAACACATAAAATGAGTTGCTATGTTCCTTACTGATCTTACCATCGAGGGTATGGTACACATGGAGTCCTGCTGGCACACGCTTCGCAACACTAAGAACCATGTCTCCTTCCCAGAATTCCAATAGCTAAAGAACATTAAGAGTGGAGAAACAATGAGCTATAATATATGAGTAGCACAAGCCCTGACTCAGGAAGAACAGCAAATGAATACTCCTGTTCCGACCAACACCAGCATTTTAGAAAGAAACATCATTTGATAAATTATTCAAGTCTGAAGATGTTGACTGCATCTATTACAGACTGAAGAATTTAGCTGCATAAGGAGAAACCCCAATAGCCATCTAAACCATCTTATTCAGTGTAAAGACCAAGCCGGCCGAGGAATTTCTGCCCCAAAGAGCTATGGCTTTGCTTAGAAAAGCAACACTGGCTGCAGCCCACACGGATGCTCCCGGGATGCTAGAGAGGAAGGCCCTGCTCTAAATTTCAAAAGGAGTTTTTACTTTGGGCTGGAGTGTAGCTCAGTGGTACAGTATTTGCCTAGCTTGCATGAGGAACCGAATTTTATACCAGCACCACACACAAGCACAGGATCTGTTATATACTGGATGGCCAGAGGTTTGCTAAGTTTTTACACCTGAGCCTGAGGATGGTAGGAACTGCACTGAAATAATATCAGAACGATATTTCTACTCTAGACTTTCTTCATAACATTGTAAGATATTTCTCATAAAAAGCCAAGACATTTTGTTTTAGAAGACCTTTGTAAGAGTCATTTACTGTGTTGATTTCCTGATCTCTTGCCAGTGGCTTATATCTGAGGTAACAGTGTGCAGAGATGTGTGCTTGAAATACTAGATAGACAACAGAGAAAAGAGAGCACAATACTTAAGAGACAAGTCAGTCCTTTTCAATGTGAAATGCCCTCCACAAGCTCAGAGCCCCAAGTCTCTGGGCTTTAACTCTGCCAGAACTTAACTCAGAAGTATAAGACAGCTATGGGATTCTAAGGAGCTTGTCACTGGAGCAGCATGTACACTACATGTAAAGTGAAAAAGATACTAGTTTAGCCAGGCGGTGGTGGCCCATGCCTTTAATCCCAGCACTCGGGAGGTAGAAGCAGGCAGATCTCTGAGTTTGAGGCCAGCCTGGTCTACAGATCGAGTTCCAGGACAGGCTCCAAAGCTACACAGAGAGAAACCCTGTCTCGAAAAAACAAAAACAAAACAACAACAAAAAAGATACTAGTTTGCTTTTCTTAGGAGAAAATAAAAGAAAAAGCTGATACTTTTGGTGATAGATACAAATATTTAGAGAATTCATTTAAATTTATTCTGGGGCACTCTTGCCCCAAGTTTACATTTTCTTCTTTTTTCTCCTCTTTTTTGACATGGAGTCTCAAACTTATTGTGTAGCTGAGGCTGACCTTGAACTCCTGATCTGCCTGTACCTTGAAAATGTTAGGATAATAGACACGTGTGACTAAGCCTGGCCAGAGTTTCCATTTCTAAATCCTCTGATCAGGAAGTAGTGAGGGGTGAGGAAGTGGGGCTAAGGGACAGGACACCAAGTAGAAGGAGGAGAGACCAGGGCTGAGGTCCTGGCACTACCATACTAACTAGATGTCTGTGCATGTGCAACACTGGATGCTTTCAGATATAATTTATTTTCAAAATCGAGCTGGCTTGCCCTGGTGAGGCTGAAGAGCCAAATGAAATGATGTTTATGAAAGCATCATGAGTAAAAATGAGAATCCTCTCCACTGTCCTGTGACTCAAGTACAGGCAAATCAATGACTTGGAGATGAACACTAGATGAAACTCCCTGTCTAGTCAATCCCATCTGTAAATCCAACACTCGGGAGGCTGAAGCAGGAGGATTACTGTGAGTCGGAGGCTAGCATGGGCTATAGAGTGACACCATCTCAAAAACACAGAAACAAGAGCTAAATATCAAACAAAAGGATCTACTAAGGGCTTGCCTAGTATGTTCACACCAGAACAACAAATACGAATATTAGCAGTCAAGTGACTTAACACCAGACAATACAAAGCTAGTTATCTTCATTTGTTCAGTGGTTCTTGTTTTAAGTATTAGGCTCAACTTTTCCTCTCATTTCTTTGAAAAGCAATTATCTTTCTTCTGTTTTGCAAAAGCAGAGACAATTTTACCTTGTCATCTACCAGGCTCCATCAGTCACCTCAAAAGCTGCTGAGAAAATACACAGAAATGCATTTCTGAAGACTTACAAATACCAGCAATGGTAGCACAAACCTGTGATCCCAGTACTTAGGGGGCTGATGTGGGAGAACTGTGATTTCACGTCCAGCCTGGGCTATATAGTGAGATACTATCTAAAAACAAATCAAACCAACTACGCAACCAATCGAACAAAGAACAACAACAAAACCCCAGACTTCCAAGTAAGAGAAGGTTTGGTTCATTTATGCACCGGCAGATACAGTCAGCCTGAAATAGACCTCAATGTTTAGACCTCAATGTTTCTGTTAAGAGAAAAATAAGAATTACCTGAAATATTGACTGACGGAGATCTCCTAAAGTTTTTCTTTTATCAAAGGTTAAATCCCACACACTCTCTGTCTGAGAGATTTCAGGGTGCAGAGCCCCATTGAAGAAACGGTAGTGAGGACCCAGATGGAGATGCAATTCAAAATTGTTGTTTGCAGAGTCACATTCTGCCCTTTAGGACATAAAAAACATACATCTACTATGTTTTTGTAACACACTATCTCAAACCAAAAATAGTTGTCTTACCAATACAAGCAAGTTCTCCATTCTACTTTGGTAACATCTTTTTCTTCTGCCTGCCAAAATGATTCATTTTGGCTTTCAACACAAAGCATACATTCAGTTGGAAGTGCATCATGAATTCTAAGAGAAAACTGTTTCCATGGAAATTGCACACTGTTAGCCATCTCCAGCCTTGTCACAAACACTGACAGACAGAATGCTGAATCCCACACACATGTTCAGAGGTGGATTCCCAACTTCCACTAGGCTCCCGAGGCTTTTCCAGAAGATGCCAACAACTGTTAGAAGATTCTTCCCAGCATTTATTTCCAGGCTGAAATCCTGAGTGACAAGCTGTTTCCTGCTCCTCTCTGCCTACACTCAGTTGACTCAAAGCCTGGCACCAAACTCATCCTCCTAGGCAGAATGACCAGTGCTGGGCTGGAATGAGGCTGCCACCAAGACTCAGTACTTTAGATGCATTCTATTCTGATCAAGAGGAACATTAATAAAGCCACACCAAGGACTTTAGTTTTAGCTTTTGCTGTTTTGTTTTTATTTCTTAAGTTGTAACTGCTAACCTAACAGGTTTTTTTCTGCATTTAACATGTTTCAATGTTTTAGCTTTTATTAAGAGTTCCATTGATCTTGGTGTCTCATTTGCTGGATCTGCTATATTCACTCCCAGCTACAAGTCCAAGATAAAATTTCTGAACACAGCTTGCTACATTATCTGCCCCTTCAACACCCAGGAGGATCACAGAAACATCCATTTCCCTCCCCTAATACTCTGCTGACACTCTTGGAAAGCAAATACAGCAGCAGAACAGTCTCCAAAGCCCAAGGTTAGCCATACTCTCAAGTCATGCTTTCAGTTATTTTAAGCCTTTATTTTTATTTTGGGTATTTTGCTTATATGTACACATGTGCGCATATATATATATATATATATATATACACACACACACATATGCATGGCCATATGTGTGCAGTACCTTCAGAGGCCAGAAGAGAGCATAGATCCCAGAGAATAGGAGTTACAGTTGTGTGCATAGTGTGGGTATTAGAAACAAGATTCCTCTGGAAGAACAGCCAGTGGTCTTAACCACTGAGTCCTCATCTACCCACCCACCTACCCTAGACTGATATTAAGCCCCTTTGCAATCGATCCACCTCTAGTCTTCAGTCACTATGTGTTAGTTCTTACAACTACTTAAAACTGAGGGAATCATTTGGCCAGGCAGAGCACAATTCTTGTAGCACAACTGCAAGCTTGTGATCATGTCTCTAGACTTCCTAGGCTCTGACCGCTACTTAGCAACAGTTACTGTATGTTATTACTCATACTTACATATGGATAAATAGTATCTTTACTATAACTAGTTGATAGGTATACATATTTTGGTAAACTTTCATACTTAATGCTTATGTCCCAAACTGATGAGTATTTTCCAGAAACACTTTGCAAACACCAAATGTATTCAAACTACCTTCTCATGTGCAGTTGAATGTTGGCTGCATCCATTTCCTTCAGCAAATGACATGGAACCCTGTATCTTGGATTGGCTCGAGCTGTGAACAGAACTATCCATTAATTTGTTTTGACTGAACAAAATTGGGTTGCTAAAAGGCAGGATGAAAATCTGAGGTCAGGTGTGATAATACACACCTGTGATTCCAGCACTGGGAAAGCTGAGACACAAGGAGTTGGAGGCCAACCTGGGATACACTGAAAGACATTCTCTCAAATAAATATGAGGGGCTAGAGAGATGGCTTAGAAGTTAGGTGCACTTGATGCTTTTGCATAGGACTGGGGTTTGGTTCTTATCACTTCAGGCAGCTTCAACTGCCTATAATTCCAGGGGTCTGATGCCCTCAGATACATGCATGCATATGTGCATGCAAGCAGACATACACACCCACAACTGTGCTGGAAGCCAGGGGCACTATCATTGACTAGTTAAATGAAAATAGATTTTTCTCTCAATCTTAGTTTTGCTGGATAAGCACCACCACCAACCAAAAGATGAGAATAACTTGTTTTAAGCTGATCTAGAAGAATCCCATTGTTTCAACTCTCTCTGAGCATTCTGTTGTTGTCATTTAAAGGACACTCGCTAGTTTTGTCCTTATTATAAATATAACAGTTGGTTACTGTAAAAACCCAGAAATTAGGGCTGGAGGTAGCTCAGCAGTTAAGAGCTTCTCTTCCAGGAGACCCAGGTTTGGCTTTCAACACCCACATGGCATCCAACAACTCTCTGTAACTCAAGTTCTAAGGGATCCAATGCTCTCTTCTGGCCTCCAGGGCCCCCAGGCACACACATGGTGCATATACACACAAGGCAAAACACTCACACACTTAAAATACATAAATCTTTTTAATTCCAGAAATCATTTATTTTATTTTATTTATTTTATTTTTTTGATAGAGGATCCCACTATAGCCTGGGCTAGCCTGAAACTATTTAACTTGGGTTGGTCTTGAATTCACTACAATCTTCTTGCCTGAGCCTCCCAGGTGCTGGGTTATATGTATGAATCACCATGACTAGTGTGAAAGTTATTTTCAAAGTATATTAGGGGATGACCTGGAGTCTCACCCCCAAGACATCACCCCCAAGACATCACCCACACATACATTTTATAAAAACTGAAATGTAGTCAGCAAACTGGTAGATTGCTTTTTCACTTCCTATTCCCACAGGCTTAAATATGTGACTAAACAGTTGTGTACTTAGGAAGTAGCCTAATTAGTCTAATATTTTTCTTTATTTTGAAAAAAATTACTTAATGTGCATGAGTTTTTTTGCCTGCATGTATGCCTCTGTACCACCTGCATATCTGGTGCTCTTGGAGGCCAGAAGAGGGTATTAGATTCCCTAGAGTTGCAGACAGTTTTGAGTCATGTGAGTGCTGGGAATCAAAACCCAGATCCTCTGATGAGCAGCCAGTAAGCTTAACCACTGAGCCACCCGTCCAGTCCCTAACCTTTTTCTCTTAGATAGTGTGGTGGTTTGAATTAGAATGGCTCCCACAGACTCAGATTTGAATGCTTGGTCCCCAGGGAACAGCATATTAGGAGGTGTGGACTTGTTAGTGTATATGTGGCTTTGTTGGAAGAAATGTGTCACTGGGGTGGACTCTGAGGTTTCAAAGGCTCAAGCCAGGCCCTGTGTCACTCTCTCTTCCTGCAGCCTGCCTATCCGGATACAGAACTCTCAGTTTACCTCTCCAACATCATGTCTGCCTGAATGACACCATGCTTTCCACCATGATGATAACGGACTAAACTCTGAACTGTAAGCCAGCCCCAATGAAATGTTTTCCTTTATGGGAGCTGCTGTGGTCACGTGTCTTCACAGCAATAATTAAGACAGATGAAGGTGATTTCTAGCTAGTCATGAGTATAAAGATATATAAAAGATTATAAAGATGGCAACAGACACCTTTAAACATTAAGTACTCATCCACTGATCTGACCTCTTCCTCTCTCTTGCTGCACTTTGATCTGCAGCCCACTACGCTGCAGAGTGACTAGGTTGCCCAGGCTGGCTCTGAACTCATTCTATCACCCAGTCAGGCCTTGGACTGTAATCCTCCTGCCTCACTTTCTGAGTAGCTGGGATTACAGGTCTATGCCACTAGGTTGGGATCTCTTTCCTTCTTTCAAAGACAAAAGCTTTCTGGTTAGCAGCTGTCATGTATATTCAAGATCTAGAAAATTAATTTTTCTTTAATTCTCATGCAAATTAATAACTATTTTATTATTTATAAAAAGGATCACTATTTCCATTTTCTAAGAACATTATCTTAACTGCTAATCATATCTGCCAATCTATGAAGCTTTTTCTTTTTCTTTTTTTTTGAAATAGGGTCTCATTAAATAACCCTGGGTGGCTAGAAATTTGCTATGAAATCAGGCTAGCCTTGAACTCACAGAGAGATCTGCCTGCTTCTGCCTCCCAAGTCCAGTGATTGAAGGTGTAAACCACCACCTTCAGCAGCAGTTTTTTTTTTTTTTTAACTTTTAAGAGAACTCTGGCTGGGCGGTGGTGGCGCACGCCTTTAATCCCAGCACTCGGGAGGCAGAGGCAGGTGGATCTCTGTGAGTTCAAGGCCAGCCTGGTCTATAAAGTGAGTTCCAGGAAAGGCATAAAACTACACAGAGAAACTCTGTCTCAAAAAAACAAAAAAAAAGAGAGAGAGAGAGAGAACTCTGGCAAGGGATCAAACCATCTTACTGATTTACTCCTGGTAATAGTTTCTATTATAAATATTATTTATTGTGATGAGGTTGGGATGGTTAAACTATAAGGTAGGAGCTCTCTCAGAAGGTTAACAGAGTGCTTCAAGTATATTTCAGCTGCTCAAGAACACATACTCGGAGGAAACGGAAGGGACCAGAGTGTGAAAAGGAGAGTAAGGAAACAGACCACGTTCAACTCAAGAGCAACACGTGGCGGAATGAGAGCCAAGTGCAAACCCGGGCAACTGTTCTCAAGTTTGCCACCACAATAACAACATATGCCATCCAACAACATTCAATTTTGAAAAATGGAACTATGACCAAGAGGAGAAAAATGTAAGACATCTTCTCATAAAATGACAAACTGAAAATTAACATATGATTTCCTGCTTAAAGAAAGAAATGCACAAATAAGGAAAACTTAAATGACAAGCTGATAGATTTCATTTGGCATACTAGACTTCCCAGTGTTAGTTTTAAAATATGTAAAGACACCCAGGCAAACCCATCTCTTCAAAAGACACAACGTAAGGCAGCACTGGAAGCTTGTCAGCTGGAGTTACTAATAAGAAAAATCAGAACACTTCTCTCTCGTACCTTCGGAGGGCCTCTGCAGCTTGGCTTTCCGATAAAACAGCATGTAGGCACTTTCTTTACCCTGGAACTGCTGTGCGATAGCATTCTCTCTGATTGGCTGGACTTTGGAATCATTGATATCAAACCAGTGGGGGCAGCTGGTGTTATCACTTAACCCTGGGGGTTCTGAAGCAAGTGTATGTAGAATCTGTTCCTGGTTCCTTTGGAGATCAGACGGGGCCTGAGTAAAATGGCTCTTCAGGAGACTAACTGTACTTTCATCTGTGCTGAGCAGAAACATCTGAGGATGGAGCTGTAAGAACTATTCAGAACAAACAAAAACAAAAATTAGGTTTATTAAAAAAGTTTTAATAAAAAGGTTTTTAACTAGATAAGATAGTGTGTTTAGATGTTTTTAACTTTCCCTTTCTTTTTTGCTAGCCTTGGGTGTGTGCAGGGATACTCATCCGGGCATGATGAAATCTGAGCACACTGTCACACGTTAACAGTTCTGCTGAGGGAAAAAGTGACAAGCCACAGTGGGAAAGCACTTCATTTATCACCACTGTGTTTCAACTAGTGCTTCAATGGGGAAGAACAAACGTTTCTCAACTATCCAGAAGCCATCTAACTACAGATTCACATTTGCTGATTCTTGAGATTGAGTCTTGTGTTCTTGGAATTCTCAGAAAACTCTTGCCCACACCTATATGTTGAAGTGTTTTCAATTAAAAAGCTTCCACAAAACAAAAGCTTCCACAAAACAAAGGAGCAATAACCAAAGTGAAAAAGTCTAAAGGAAAAAAATCTTTGCCAACTACAAATCGGACAGGGGATTAATATTGAGCATGTAAGAAGAATAGCCAAAACAAACAAACAAACAAAACCCCACCAAATCAACCAATCAATAAATGATCTAATGATATGAACAGAAAGTTCTCACTAGAAAAAGCATAAACACCAATAAAAGCTTTAAAAAGTAATCAACATATTAGTCATCAGGGAAATGCAAATGAAAACCACTTCATTTGATCTTAACCCCAGTCAGAATGGCTGTCATCAAGAAAATAAGACAACAAATGCTGGAGGATCCTTGGGAAGAGGTGTAAGTAACCATTTACAGCCACTATGGAAATAAGTATGGATGTTCCTCTAAAAATGACAGCTATGCCAACTCTGAGCATATATTGGAAGGACTCTAGCACACCACAGTCACTTGCCCATCCATGTTCATTCACAATAGCCAAGGGAACCAGAGTAGATGTTTGTCAAGAGATGAACAGAAAATGTGGAACATATATACAATAAATTTTTATATAGCCATAAAGAAAAATGGAGTCATGACATCTATAGGAAAATGAATATAACTGGAAATCATTACATTAAGCAAAGTAAGTTTTGTCTTAGGAAGACAGATAATATATGCTTCCTCTCATATGTGGAATCTAGGTTTAAATATATATATATATATATATATATATATATATCTCCATATATTAATAGGTATGTATTTATATGCATATTTATACATGGTCATGAGCAAGGAGCAAGTGATCTTAAAGGCAGTGGGAAATAGAGATGGTAAAGAATATATGCAATAAGAAATGGAAGTTGGGAATAATAGGAGGAAGAAAGGAAACCATTGTTGCAGGACATTTGTTCACACTGACACTCCTTGACTACCAATAAAGTTTTCCTTGAATCAGAGGGCTGTGGAATATTCCTTTATACTGTGTGAATATATATCGCTATGATTGGTTTAATAAAGAAGCTGACTGGCCAATAACTGAACAGGATAAAATTAGGTAGGAGAGCCAAATGGAGAATGATAGAAAGAAGAAGGGTAGAATCAGAGGAGTTGCCAGCAGAGGCAGAGAGAAGCAAGATGGGCATGCCATATTGAGAAAAGGTCCTGAGCCAAGTGGCAAAGCATAGATAAAAAATATGGGTTAAGCCGGGCGGTGGTGGCGCACGCCTTTAATCCCAGCACTCGGGAGGCAGAGCCAGGCGGATCTCTGTGAGTTCGAGGCCAGCCTGGGCTACCAAGTGAGATCCAGGAAAGGCGCAAAGCTACACAAGAGAAACCCTGTCTCGGAAAACCAAAAAAAAAAAAAAAAAAAAATATGGGTTAATTTAAATGTAAAAGATAGCTAGTAACAAGCCTGAGCTATTAGCTGATCATTTACAATTAATATTAAGACTCTGAATGGTTATTCAAGAGCGGCTTCTGATATAGAAAAACTCTGCCCACAGAGGGTGAAGTCAGTGAGTCAGTCAATATTAATAAATATTAATTTTAGTCATATTAATATATATGGGTTTGGAGGACCCAGATATAGGGGCACAGGAAGATATAGGAAGGGGCTTAAAATGATTCATGGCTTTTTTGATCTGTGTATTGTGAAAGCTAGGGTCAGCTCATCATTTCTCTACTGTTCTTTGGATCTATCAGGTTTTTTTTTTTTTTAATCCCAATGTGGTGGTATTGTGTTCCCCGAAATATTATTCACCCTAATAAATTTATTTGGGGTCAGAGACAGAACAGCCACAATATTAAACAATAAGGTTAGGCAGTGGTAGCACACGCCTTTAATCCTAGCATTCCAGAGGCAGAAATCCATGTGTTCAAGGATACAGCCAAGCATGGTGACACACCCCTTTAATCCCAGAAAGCGAGCCTTTAATCCCAGGGAGTGGAGGTAGAAAGCAGAAAGGTATATAAGGCTTGAGGACCAGAAACTAGAAGCATTTGGCCTAGTTAAGCATTTGGCTGGTTAAGCATTTAGGTTTTGAGCAGCACAGTTATTTTAAGCAGTAAAATATTTTCTCTGTAGAAAACAGTATAAATTATAATATTTTCCAATAGGCCCTTTTAAGCCAAATGATAGCTGAATTGTACATATAAATATTGATTAGATTCTGGGATACAGAAGAAACCTATCTTCATCTGTTCAGAGAGCTACATTTTACTTAAGTTGTGTAAGTGAGCTTCCTATTCATCTTCCCCTTCACTGTTTGATTTACGGCAGACATTTTTCTATAGGCTAATCCATATTCTAAAAAGATTTTAGCCTCCCCTCCTGAAAGAACAGCCAGCATTTTCTTTCATCAGCTTGATACAGTACAAATTCTTATTCTAGTAGTGAAATGTTTCATTAAAGCTTGCCCTGTGATTGGGTAAAACCAAAACTTATAAGCCACAGTCATCCTAGGGGCTACCTACCTACTACCCTGCTAGGTAGCCTCCCTGAATCTGTGGGTTGCAGTCTGATTGTCCTTTGCTTTACATCTAGTATCCACTTATGAGTGAGTACATAACATGTTTGTCCTTCTGAGTTTGGGTTACCTCACTCAGGATGATATTTTCTGGTTCCATCCATTTGCCTGCAAATTTCATGATGTCATTGTTTTTCTCTGCTGAGTAGTACTCCATTGTATATATGTATCACATTTTCTTAATCCATTCTTCAGTTGATGGGCATCTAGGTTGTTTCCATGTTCTGGCTATTATGAATAATGCTGCTATGAACATAGTTGAGCATGTTTCTTTGTGGTATGATTAAACATTCCTTAAGGGACTATTCCATTGTCACTAATTTCATAATCCTTTGGTTTTATTTTGACTCTTTAAAACTTTTCTTTGGTTTAATTTTGACTCTTTAAAACTTTTCTTGCCCGGTGGTGGTGGCACACGCCTTTAATCCCAGCACTCAGGAGGCAGAGGCAGGTGGATCTCTATGAGTTCGAGGCCAGCCTGGGCTACAGAGTGAGTTCCAGGACAGGCTCCAAAGCTACACAGAAAATCCCTGTCTCGAAAAACAAAACAAAACAAAACAAAACCCCCCAAAAACAACAACTTTTCTTAAGGTATAAATATTATTTTAAAATTTGTAAGATTATTATATATATTTAAACTTTCTGATAAACAAAGGCTGAGTATGTTTCCCACTACAGTCTGGAGTCTTAAGAACTGCTGCAGGGTAGGATACTAAAAATAAACCTGGACAAACAGAAAAAGCACTGAACAACAAGATTGAACATATAAAATAACTTTCCCTCTAATTTCTTTAAAAGTCCCCTAAATATTAAAAGTAAAATTAGTTTGTGTAGCAGAACTGACATCACATGCAGTGGTGAGATGTAAGATGGTTACTAGCATCTTACACAGGACAGATTCAGTTGCTCATCGATAATTAGTAATAAAATGTAAAATGTAATCTAGACATCAGTCACTAAAAATTAAACAGACAGGTAAAAAAATTAAAATAAACTAAAATTACTTGCTTAACTACAAAGGAAAGTGAGGAGGAAAAACAAGATAGAAAATAGAAAAATTAGTGATCTAGAAGATTCAAGGACAATCCTATCAATTATTACATTAAATGCAAATGAATAAATAATAAACATAGAAAGATGTTGACAAACTCTCATCTGACAGCAAACAGAATGGAAGTGATGAGAATCAGGAAAAAGTTGTTTTCTTAAAAAGTTTAAAAGCATGTAAACTTCTAGCAAGACCAATGAAAAAGAACTCAATAGTATACATTATCAATACATAAATGGAAAGGAGACATAATTCCAGGCCTTCAACACTTAAAAGGATAACATGGTAATTTTTCAAATAGCATTATGACAACAAATATAACAACCATAAAAAGTTAATTAAAAACCTTATTCCACCCTGCAAAAAGAAACAGACATGCATAAGAATCTTGAGTAGCTATATTCATACCAGACCAATATACCTCACAGGACAGGTATAAGCAGAGATTAAGAAGGACATTTGATGTCAGTTGGCTGTAACAATATTAAATGTCCATATTCTTAGTAATACAGCTTCAAGATATACAAAGAATAGTCATAACTAAAGAAGGAAGGGACAAGCCCATAATTATAACTGGAAGACATAAAAATACCTCTTTTAATAATTTATAGGACAAAAAGAAAAAAATTAGTAAAGGCAGAGAATAAAAACCACTTTTAAGCAATTGATCTCACTGATATTTCTCTTTGGTTGTGAGCCTAGCCTTTAATGGCTGAGCCATCTCTACAGCCCCCTCATTGATATTCATGAAATATGACATCACCAACTGCAGAAAACAATGTCTCAAAAACTGAGTCATGAAACAAGTCTCAATGAGGTCACATCTAATAAGTTCTTAGAGCACAATAGTATTAACCAAAAAAAAAAATTGGTTTGTAGATAAAATTAAGTTACTAGAAATCTCCAAATATTTGGAAATTAAGCACCACACTTTCACACATGGGAAATTACACAATTTTAAACTGAGTAATAAGGTGAAGTTACAGGTAAGTTAGTGCTTAGCAAGAAGTCTTAACTTTACAAGCATGTATCAGAAGACTTAACTACAGAAAGGTGCTAAATTAAATTTCTTAAAGTAGAAACAATTAAAAGTGAGAACATAAATAATAAAATAGAAAACAGATAACAGAGAACATCAACAGCTATATTTAATTGCATCAAAAGCAAAGGTTGGCTTTTTTGAAAAGCCTTTCCACAACAATCTCAATAACCCCCTATGAACACTGATGAGAAGAAAGAAGCAAGGATATAAATCTTATTCATGAGAAGTGAAAAAGAAACCAAAACTTCAAGTTCTAAAGACACGAAAAAGACAATATGGGACAGTTTGAACCAATTTTATGCCAGGAAATTAGAGCTCACAGACAGAGTCTCTAAAACAACATCATTACAAACAAATTCAAGCAGTGGAAAGTGAGCCTTTCTGATGGCTGAATTACTCACTTAACACTCAGAAGAGCAGGTCAATGCTTTTGTTCTCTGTGAAGTTGCTGCATTTCTTGTAACACTAGTTCTTGAGTCTGATTTAAACCCAGGAACCAAATGCCTGGCTTGACTACTCCCTTGAGCTTTAGAGTAACTTCTTAGTGATTAATAGCTTCTTTTCCTGCTTATGTCTTCGTAAATAACCTAAATACAATGTATGTGATCTGTAACCTACCAGCAAATTCTAACCACTAAACAAAAAGACTGATTACTTTTTATCTGTTTTAAAGCTCCTTTTACATAGGAACTAAACTCAAGTTGCTAGGATCATATGGTTCCTGGGATGAGGACTGCCTATGTTGACGCTAGCACTACCTTTCGCAATGGTCCATGCTGTTTTCTGTACTTCTTGTTCCAAGATATTCCTGTCTTTTTCAAGAGTTTCTGGCCCAGCTGATCAACAGGAATTTGATTGGTCTCCTCCTTATGAAAGAAATACAGTCAGTTAACATCTCATGAGAAATGACGACACTACAAATTCAGAGGGATCAAAAGGAGTGCACCTGCTTCTCTTCCCTAGAGCACAAACTTATAATGAGATCAATCAGACTCTATGTTTTTAAAGTAACCTTAAGTGCCAGTTTAGAAGACCTTCAATTTGAAAACCCATTTGCCAAGGGTCTCAGACAGAAATTCAAAGAGCACCATGCAGAGGGAGTTCTGCAGTTTGCCACACTCCTAACATTATTTATGATTTGGAAGAACAAGCAAGGAAGAAGGAAGATGTTGCTGACACAGGTTTTATATCTTCCTAAGATTAATAGGCTGTACCTTTAGCCCCCAATACTTCAGAATAGGATGTGCTTAGAAATAAGGACTCCAAAGACGCAGGTTAAAACGCTCTTTGGTTTATTTGGAGATAGGGTCTTATGTTGCCCAGGCTAGCTTTGTAACTGAGAATGACTCTGAACTTCTGACCCTCTTACCTCCCAAGTTCTGGGATTATGTGGCACTTCATACACTACTTTATGTGGTACTAAATTTTAAACCTGGGTCTTGTATATGCTAGACAAGCATTTTACCAACTGGGCCACATTCCTGGTACTTGTCTTTTTTGCAAGTGCTTCCAGTATCAGGACAAATAGATTCTGTAGCCCAGGCTGGCCCCAAATTCAAGATGTTTCTTCTGCTTCAGCCTCTCAAAATGAGAGATTAAAGGAAAGAGCCACCATACCTAATGAGTAAGTTCAAATGAATCAGGGTGTCGTGGCACACACCTTTAATCCCAGCACTGAGGAGGGATAGGCAGGCAGATCTCTGTGAGTTCAAGGCCAGCTTGGTCTACAAAGCAGTGAGACCTTGTCTTAAAAAAAAAAAAGTTAAAAGGAAATCATATTTCAATTTAGATATCCTCATATAAATTACATCACATACACAAACACAACACACACATGTATATATAATACTTATTTGCACATAAATATGTACAAAGACCCACTTTACCTGCAATAAGATTGTTTTTAGAATCATCAATGGGTCATCAACCTCTTCTTCATTCTGAAGATCTTTCAAATGCACATCCGTATAATTTATCTCTTCCTAAGAAGGAAAATAGTGTTTCACAGATGCCAGTTTAAAGGAAATATCCAAATAAAAATGTTTAAGCCACTGGAGGATGAAAGGTAAAACTATCAGGCAATTTTACACAATTTACTTAGTCTCTCTGGTTTTATATACAAATTAGGACTATGAGACAAAGAAAGACTCTAGCTTGTGGTTGTGTAAGAATGGCCTCTATCAGCTCATATATTTAAATGCTTAGTCACTAGGGAGTGGACTATGTGAGAAGGACTAGGAGATGTGACCTTGTTGGAATAGGTGTGGCTTTGTTGACTGAAGTATATAACTGGGGGTGGGCTCTGAGGTTTCAGAAAGCTCATACCAGGCCCAGTGTGCCTTTCTCTTTTTGCTCCATGCTCTCTGCCATGATGACGGACTAAACCTCTGAACTATAGCAAGCCTCCAATCAAATGCTTTCTTTTGCCTTATTACAGTGTCTCATCACAGCAACAGAACAGTGACTAAGACATAGTACAATAAGAGTAGGTTCCAACATTTTCCAGCTAAGAAACGTGGTGGCTCATAAAATTTGTGTTCATTATCATTCATTTAAAAATATTTTTTGGTCTTCACTAGTATGTTTACAGTTTCTTATTTTGGTTTAAGGAAATCCTACCCATTTTTGTAGGCTCACCTTAAACATTGACTTCTATTTCCTTATCATTCAAAAAGTTAACAGCCCAGGTTGTGCACTGTGGCACATATCCCTTGCTAGGCAAATTTTGTTGACTTTAAAAAACATACATATAGTTGGGCGGTGGTGGCATACTCTAATCTCAGCACTAAGCAGAGACAGGTAGATCTCTAGTTCCAGGACAGCCAGGGTTATACAGAGAAACCTTGTCTCAAAAACAAAACAAAACCAAAAATACATATAACACTTTGCAAAAGTATTTTTTGTTTTGTTTCTGTTTTGAGATGGTCTTGAACTCAGATCCACCTGCTTCTTTTGCTTTCAGAGTGCTGGGATCAAAGGCATTAGCTCTACAAGTTTTTTGCTTTATTTTGTCTTTGTAAATTACAACTTTCTTAGATTTCTGATTTTTAAGAAAGATTTATTTATTTTATGTATTAGTGCTTATAGTTCATGTGTCGTTGGTGCCCTCAGAGGCCTGAAGATGGTATTATATCCCTTGGAACTAGAGTTAGAGATGGTTGTGTGTTCCCATGGAAGTGCTGGGACCTGAGCCCAGGTTCTTTTCCAGAGCAGCAAGCTGAGCCTTTTCTCCAGTCCATTGAAAAAGTATTTAAAACTAGCTAAAAAGTATTTTAAAACTAGCTAACTGCTAATTGATAACATTAAGAAAAAAGTAGTTAAGAAATAACAGATTATGGCAGACCGGATCTATCATCTTTGGCAACTCATTAAAAATGATAAAGCAGACAAAACAAAAGCATCTTTTTCTTTTTAAGCTGATTTTTCTTAGTAAGTATACAAAACAATAATTTTCATTGTCAACTTGACAAATTCTAAAATCACCTGGGAGGTAGGCCTCTGGGCGTGCCTGTGGGGAATTATCTTGATTGGGTTAAGTGAGGTGGGATGACTCATTCACTATGGGTGGCACCATTCCCTGGGCTGAGATCCCAGACTGTATAAAAGAGAATGTGCACTGAATACAAGCATTCATCTCCCTCTGCTTTCTGACCAAAGATGTACTGTGAGCAGCTGCATCCTCGAGCTCTTGACCCCATGACTTTCCTGCCATGATGCACCCTTCCTCCTTTAGCACAGTAACAAGGCAGTAACTAAGCCCTGCCTTGCTGACAGTATCCATTTCAATGCTCATACAGAACAGCTTCAGGGAGGGAAGCCTAGGGCGGACTCAAATCAGGGAGAAACAACCAATTCTCCAATCTTTGGCACCAACTGAATGTCCTACATCTCCACTCAATTCTGACACTAGCTATGTGGTAATAGATCCCACCTGTTGAGGAGTCAGTCTCAAAAGATTGGTCCTGGTCTACAGAGTGAGCTAGGGCTACACAGAGAAACACCGTCTCAAAAAAAACAAAAACAAAAAACAAAAAAAACAACAAAACCCACAGAAAAAAAGAAAAGAAAATATATCAAGCTCACACAAAAATCCTTATTCTACTTATTCTCTTCTGTTTGTATTGAATCAGGGTCTTACTCTGTTGACTAGGCTTGCTTGAAACTCTCTGTAGCCCAGATTGGCCTCAAACTCATGGTGATTCTTTTGACTCAGCCTTCCAAGTGCTAGACTTATAGGTGTGTGCCACTATGCCCACTTTCTTCAGAGTACCCTTGATTTTGTGAGGAGAAAGGACTTTAATAGATAAGCAACTGGGTGTGACAGCCCACCCCTATGCCTGGAGTCCCAGCGCTTGGGACAGGCAGGATGAGTGTCAGCGACAAGACACCATAGACTGCAAAGTAAGACAGTGTCAAATAGACAGACTAACAGAAAACACAAAATCAAACCACCAGATAGGCAATGAGAGAACACAAAGCCTGTTCCTTCAAGTCACACTAACAGCAGAAGATTCTAACACTTCTAGAGAAGAGCAAGTCACTGCTTAAGAGATGAACACAAAATTTCAAAGAGATCTAGAACCCACAACCCTAAGGGAAGACAGAAGAATCATTAAACCTGAAAATAAAATACCATGTGACTGTTTCAGGAGTTAATAGGCTGCCAGCGGGAAAAATGACACACCCTGACAGCAGCCGAGCAAAACTACAGGGGACAGCAGAGAGAAGCGCCCTCAGGCTGGACTGGCTCAGAGGCAGGTGCGCCTTTCAAGTCCAGAGCAGGGCCTTGGGCTGCTGAAAAAGGCTGAAACAGACCATGTTAAAGGTCTGTGGATTTGATGGGGGGCTAGGCAAGAAAATATCCTTGTGTTTAGTAGGCAAACACAAAGCATTTACAAGCAAAGGGGCCAGACACTCTCAACTTTAATCCAAATTGTTCACCAGAGTGAGGCTACTAGTGTGTAGGAGTCTATGCTACGTGCACAAATATGACAAAGGTAAACAACTGGAGATTCTAGGTAGAGGGTACACAGGAGCTGTACATGTAAAATGAACCTTCAGGACTATCCAAGTTTTCTAAAGGAGGGGTATATACTAAAGGCAAAATGATCAACAGAATACTGTAACAGGAACAGAAATGTAACAAAATTACTTATTTCTAAACAAATTTGTAAGCTTACTTGACATTGCCAGTTTCCTAGATGATCAACATCTTTAATGTACACATGGTAATGACCTCCATAGCAGCCACCTTTGTGGATAATGACGGAGAAGAGGTCATACATATATTCTGTATCATCCAGTTCACTCTAAAAGAAAAATAAACAATGATACAGTTTAATAAGGTGAGATACATAATCAAAGGGAAGAGAACCCCCCCACCCCTGAAACTAGTAAGAAACATCCTTGTAGTATTCACATTTCACTGTAATGCCCCTTTGCTGCTGAGTCTCATAATGATTAGAATGCTATCACTGTGTTTAAGGATAAATAAACATACATTTAAATAATTGGGCTTAAATTAAAATTTTTTCTTGTGTTGGAGGATGGCCTCAAATTCTTGGAGATCTTCCTTCCTTGGCTTCTTATGTGTTATGATTATAGGCATGAACCACTATGCACAGCTGAATTTTAAGTCTTAACTTATAGATTTATTGCCAATCATGCCACACTGAGCACATGCATCTGAAGATGTTATTTTTACTGGCATTCACTAAGTTAATGAGTCTGTGTTAGAGACTGTTAGTAAAGAAAGCCATCTTTGTATTATGCCCATCATGCTGTTTAGGACACATGCTCTTTTCCTACCCAAACTGCCTGATATCCCAAGAAGGATGCTGTGTACCTTCAAGTCAAGGCTCTCCTGGCATGTTAGTTCCCTGCACAGAATAGGAACTCAGCAATTGTAAACATCACCTGGTCTTGTTCAGAGACGGTTACTTTACTGGAATGAACAGGTTCCTCTATGATCAACCTCTTCTATAATATACTATGCAATCAATTACAAGTTACCCAACAGTAAACTCCTACAGTAACAATGAAAAAATTATATTATATTTAAGAGATACTTTAAATTCCAGATGCAGAAGGAAAAGGAAAAGCCAGCCATGGTGGCACACCTCTGTAATTCCAGTACTTAGGAAACCATCCTTAGCTACACAGAAGGTTTTATGCTAGCCTGGGCTACATGAGGCCCTGTCTATAAAAACAACAACGAAAAGGAAGAAGAAAAGACAGAGAAAGAAAAGAGAGATGGGGGAGAGAGCAAGGGAAGGGAGGAAAGGAGGCAATGAAGCCTTAGTCTTTTCATTCTAGGAGCGTGAACCACAGGACATAAGATATGAGGTCTCTTCTGGCTTTGAACTCAGTGTCATCTGCAATGTAAAATGTGCACATGGGTGTTACCTGGGAGATACAAGTGACTGGAAGAATTGATTTCCTTAACTATAGTTTTTAAGTGGGCAACATTTAAAAAATGTCTTATTCAGGCAAAAGACAAGACACAGAAAGATAAAAAATGACATTTTTTCTCAATATAGAAATTCAAAAGTAAAATTAATGTGGAGTTTCTACATAAGTGCCTGTTTTTGATATATTAAAATATGTTAGAATCATGTGACAAACTGCCTTTTGTAAAAGGAGAAACAAGTATATTAGTAGCTCTAGGAAAATCATTTTTTGAGTGTTTCAGTAACAGGCTTAGAGCCAGCAGGCACTACTAGATTCCAGGGATGGTAATTCATGTAACAAAACAAATAAATAGCACAGAGCTCAGCAGTGAGGCCCAAAATAGAGGAAGGCTCAGCTATGAAGTTAAAAAAAATTATTTACATATATTTTAACACAGAAATTCGACAGCTGGATGTTCGTAAACAAAACAATTACCTGTAATAAGAAATAGGTAGAATGACGGAAAAAATAGAGAACCTGGAAATAAATGACAAAACTATGCCCACTTAATTTCTGACATACACTGGATAAAAGGCAGCCAATTCAACAACAGCTCTAGCCTACTTGTAGAAGATGAAGTTAGATTTTTATCTTTCACCTTGTACAAAAATCTATTCAAAATGTATCACAGACCTTAATTTAAAGCCTGCAACCCTGAAATGTCTAGAACATAAGGGGATATCTTTCAAGATAATGGAGAAGGCAAAAACTTTTTGAATAGAATACTAATACACAGGAACTAACCCACTATCAAAAAATGGGACTACACAAAAATAAAGATTCTGTACAGCAAAGAAACAATCAACAGAATTAACAGACAGTACACAGGATAGGAGAAAGGCTTTCACAGCCACACTTCAGACAAGAGGCTGATATCAGAATTTACCAAGAAATGCAGACATTAAATGCCAAGGAAATAAAACTGCCAGTCAACAGAAAGACAGACAAATTTAATAGACAGTTAATTTTCAATAAAATAACTAAAGAAACACAAATGGCCAATAACTACTTTAAAAGTGCTCAAATCCCTAGCCAAATACTTTGAGATGCTCCACCTGACCACAATCAGAACGGCTCTCATCAACAAATGTGACAACCAATACAGGTGTGGATGTGGAGAGAAACGAACCCTTAGCCACTGTTGTTGGAGGTTTAAGTTAATACAGCCATTGTGGAAATCAGTTTGGAGATTTCTCAAAAAATTCAAACTATAACTACCATACAACCCAGCTACTTCACTCCTGGGGATATAATATACCCAGAGAACTCCGTACCTTATTGTCTTAGTTAGAGTTCCTACTGCTGTGATGAAACACCATGAACAATTTGGGGAGGAAAGAATTTATTTGGCTTACTTATTTGGAGTCACAGCCCACAGAGGGAAGCCTGGGCAGGAACTCAAACAGGGAGGGACCCTAAGGCAGGAGCTGATGCAAAGACCATGGAGGAATGCTGCTTAGGTTTTGCTCTGCCTGCTTTCTTATAGAACCCAGGACTACCAGCCCACAGATGGAACCACCATAATGGGCTGGGTTCTTCCAAATCAACCACTAATTAAGAAACTGCCCTACAGGCTTGCCTGCAGCAAGATCTGATGGAGGCATTTTCTCAATTGAGGTTCCTTTCTCTCAGATAACACTAGCTGTGTCAAGTTGACATAAAAACTAGACAGGACAATTAACCCCTTGTCAATTTGACATACCAATATAACACTGTTTAGCCATACTCTTTCTTGTTCATCCCCAAGATCATACATTAATATAAAACATTCCAACTTTTAAAAGTCCCACAACCTTTAAAAATTCAAACACTTCATGTTAGAATTCCCAGCCACTCCCCCAGCTACATGACTGCACATGCGCTGTCCACTAGCCAGGCAAGATGCTTAGTCATCCTAGGGCCTTATGTCCTACGTAATTCATGCACTGCATGATCACATAATTTGTGCCCAGCGTGATCATGTAGTTTATGCACATACGTGGCATAGCTACGTAAGCCCATATGCGCATGTGTGTGGGAGGGGGGAACCTATAAAAGCAGGTTCCACTTATTCCTCCCCTCTGTTCCTGCATGATCATTCCATAGGCCTCTGCACACCCCTTCTGTTCCCTTCTCTTAATAAACTCTTATGGTGGGTTTTGTTGTGCCTTGTGGCTTTTCTCGAATGGTAAAAAACACTGCTTAATAAATAACACTTAAAACTTCAGTGTCTTTAAAATATTCAAACTCTAAAGATCCAAGGTATTTTTAAGAGTTCAGAGGCTCTCAACTGTGGGCTCCTATAAAATAAGAAATAAGTTAAACACTTTACTTTGAGAGGGAAGAACCAGGGCACATTCACAATCTGAACCAAGCTAAACCAACTTGAACAGTATAAATAACTCAGTGTTCAATGTCTGGGATTCACTCATGATCTAGGCTCCCGCAAAGGGCCTGGGTCACCTCTCCAGCTCTACCTTCTTCAGCTCACACAGATTGTCTTCTAGGCTCAGGTCAGTCCCACTCCATGGCTCCTGCTGTCTTTGGTGATCTTCTCATGGTACTGGCATCTCCACAATGCTGCAACTGGGTTGCACTTTCTCTAATAGCCTTTCATGGGCTCTCTTCATGGCACTATGCCTTAACTATCCTCCATGACCCTTTCAAAGATGGGGCTCCAAATGCTACTGAAGTCCCAGAGGCTGCACTTTCACCAATGACCTTTCTTGACCTCTCAGAGTACCAAGCCTCAGCTGGTCTCTATGACCCTTTCATGCTTTCAAAACAAGTACTATCTGGGAGACTCTTACATAATACCAGTTCACCTGCCAGCTCAAGGTACAACCTTGGCTGCCTCTGTGTGTTGACCCCAAGGAAAAAGCCCCCAGAAGATTTCGCCTCAATGATTCTGCTCTCTTCTTAATCACTGCTAATTACTCAGCTCTAGCTAACCAGCATCAATTGTCCCAGTAAAGCAAGGGTTTCACTTTAGTGGTTCTGGTCTTTTGTTAATCATGCTGAGTCTTCAGCCCCAGCTGACCACAATCACTGACTTAATTCAAAATAGCAAATAGCCAAGAAAGAGTCTTTAAACGTCCCCCAGAACTTCATAAGCCAGGCCGCCATCTGCACTGTTCTCAGTATTATCTTCCGAGCTCCAACAGAAAACCCACAGAGATCTCAACGCTCAAAGACTTTTTTAGCCCAAGTTCCAAAGTCCTCCCCAAAACAACATGGTCAGGTTTGCCACAGCAATACCCTACAATCTTGGCATCAATTTCCATCTTAGGGTTACTGCTGCTCTGATGAAACACCATAACCAAAAGCATCTTGGGTGGTAAAGTGTTTATTTGGCTTACATATCTGGAGGCATGGTCCACTGAGGGAAGCCAAGGCAGGAACTTGAACCTGATGGGAACCTGGAGGCAGAAGCTGATGCAGAGGCATGGAGGAGTACTGCTTACTTATTTGCTCATGGCTTATTCAGCCTGCTTTCACATAGAACTTAGGACCACCACCACCCCATGGGTGGCAACACCCACAATGGGCTGGGTCCTTCCAGATCAATCACTAATTAAGAAAACGCTCTACAGGCTTGCCTGCAGTCAGATCTTATGGAGGTATTTTCTCAGTTGAACTTGCTTCCTCTGAGATGATATTAGCGGGTATGAAGGTGACATAAAAACTAGCTAGAACATTTACTATTGAGATATTTGCACCCCCATATTTATTACTGCTTTTTTCACTATAACAAAGAATTGGAATCAATCAACCAAGATGTCAACAGACAAGTGGATAATGGAAATTTGGTGTGTATATATACATACCAAATATATATATAAATATGTGTATATATTCATATATATACATGAATATTAAGCAGCTCTAAAAAATATAATAACAAAATTTGCGTGAAAAATCCCACATGGTATCCCTCATATGTGGATATATACCTCATATGTGGGTACAGTATAACAAGTGGGAAAGAGAAGAAGAAAGGCTAAATATAATAGGATGAGGAAGATATAATAGGATGAAGAAGAACTGAATGTAGGCAACGGCTATGAGTTATGAAAGAGGATATAAGGTTTATTATTTTTCTAGTTTTAACTTTGCCATGGGCTTTTCATTTTTGGTGGTGGGCAGGTTCATAAAAGTATATTTGATCGTGAAAGTGTAAAATCAATGCAAAGCTCCACAGCTTTAGAATGGCTATCTGTATAGAAGTTCACTGAGCTCTAAACACTTGGGGGGTCTGGTTAATTTCAGTGTATGACTTTTTTATTTGCAACTTTTTTTTAATAATAAAGTTTATTTTAAAAAAAGAAATACATGAGTCCTCACTCTGATTTTGGTATATATAAGAGTGACATAAAATATTTTAAAATGCCTTATAAAGTAGGCTAATTTCATAATTAATTTGATTTCAAAATATTTTCTTTCCTGTGTCTTAAGGATTCTACTGTTCTGCTGCTGCCGTTTGGTGGCACTGCAGATGAAGCCATGTTCTTGCCTTGCCAGGCAAGTGCTCTATAGTAGCTGTACCCTGGCCTTGCAAACTCTAGGAAAGTTCCATTTGCCTGTGCAAGTTCTAGATATGAACTCATTACTACACTCAAATTACACTAAATCTAAACAGCAAAGTAACAAAATTACTGGTCATTTTTCTAAAAGCAGGTAATTTATAGTTTGATTTATAAATTTTCATCTTAAAGATTTCTCAAGAAGAATTTAACAGAGAAAACTGAGATACTTTAGACATTCAAAAGGACTGTCAGGCATGGTACCATAGGCCTGTAATCTTAACTCGTAAAATAGAGGTTGAGTTCAAGGCCAACCTGGGCTGTAAAAGATCCTGTTTCAAAGAAAAAAAGAACAAAAGGAGAAATTCAAAAAGAGTGCAAGAAAACCAATTTGGACCACTTTCTCCTCCTTGGAGACGTGAACTTTCGGCCATGTCTGAAGATGTTCTGCCTTGTCTGTTGAGTAGGTATGCATACACATTATACGATTCAGGGGGCAGTCACCATGACAAAGAATTATTTAACTCAAGATATTAATAGGACCATGGTTGAGAAATCCTATAATAAACTGAGTATTTTAATCTTGGGAAGGAAGGAAGGAGAAATAATTCAAAAATAAAGGTTCAAACCTGTTCACAAAAAGGCTTGAGATTGATCCGGAGGGGGAACGTATAACAGCTCGTTTCCTTGTAGCGTTCACATTTCACAAAATCAAAATTAAATCTTAGTAATGAAATAGTAAGAAAAGGAGGCAGCTTACGTAATTTGGCAGACTGTAAAAAGAAAAATTAACAAAGTTTTAAAAATGAAAGGATACACAATGCTACATAAAATAGTAAAAAATGACATAAATATGTCCTTAAATCATACAAATACATACTGAATTCAATATAAACTTAAATCACACAAGCAGATCCTGAATTCAATATAAATTCATTTACTTTATAGAACGAAGGATGGTATTGTGCAATTACGCTTACAGAAAAAACATTTACAAGCCCCAGTTTTATGCTTTTGGGGTTGTTATCCAAAATTACTATTTGATGGGTGTGTCCTAAATGGGTGCTCCCTCTCTGTCATAACTCATTTCCTGCCTAGCCCTTGGCCTTTCACCTTGCTCCTTGCTCCTTTGCTTTACCTAGCAAACACATAGTCTTATTCAGTGAAGAAGGAGAACTCTGAATGATGCCAAGTTGTCCATGTATACATATTTTTTTCTGGAGAGAAGATTCATAGTTGTCATTAGATGGCTTGTTGTTCTTTTAAGATTTATTTTTATTTTGTGTATGGGTGTTTTGTCTGATTCCCTGGGACTGAAGTTACAAATGGCTGAGAGTGGTGGGTGCTGGGAATCTATTCCGGTCTTCTGGAAGAGTAGCCAGTGCTCTTAACCACTGAGCCACCTAACCAGCCCCTATCTGTTGTTTCCTAAGTTCAAAAGCAGACATCTTATTGCTGTTTTAATTCCTCACTTTAAAACAAAATACTAATTAAGTTGCTTTTTAAGAGTCATCAGCTATCCCCAATGTTCTTGCACTGGTGGCCTTAGGTAAGAAAAATGCTTCTCTGCAAAAATCAATAATTATATATGTTTAACATTACTAAATACATACTTAAAGTTACAATTTCATATATCCTATGGGTTAAAAAAGGTGAAATAAGGCTAGGAATAGTAGTGTATACTTATAATCCCAGGATTTAGAAGGAGGAAGAATGAGCGTCTAAAGATAACCTGGGCTATATAGCAAGTTCCTGGCCAGCCTGGGTTACACAGAAAGACTGTCTAAAAACAACAAAAGAAAAAAAAGTAATCATTATAACATGAACGATTTCTAAACTTATTCCAAAGACGCACCTAAAATAAACAAGTAACTCAACTCTAATATGGCTAGAAAAGAGTGCCACAGTGGTCACAGGTAGAGAAGGAGCTGAGAGGAAGGCTAGAGAGGTACAGCAAATGGCACATCCAAGTCAGACGAATGGAAAATACACTAATCACTCACACACACACACACACACACACACACACACACACACACACACACACAACCTCTGATAATAATTTTATATTAATATTAAAGAATTACTAATACTTAGCAGATCAGCTAACACTAGCTTTTGTTGGAAATTAACCATGTAAAAAACATTAAAAACCCATTTCACACAGAAATCAGAAACAGCTGTGCAAGTATGTTGGAAAAAAAATATACTTGGTTGCTAGAGGAGATAAAGGAGGGAAAAACAAACTCAAAAAGGTTTTCCAAATCTGTCTTCTGAAGACAGCCATTCATAGGCCAGACTCCTGGAGAATAAGTAGGTAAATTCATGTAGGACACAGAACTCTTCCCCTAACTGGCACAACACACTAGCATGAGGCCAGTTTTTAGATTCTGAGGTGTTGCCATCTGTAGCAATTAAGTGTATCTTCCTGACTTCACACAGATGACTTCAGCTGGCATATCTTCTTGTCTATAGGCACGAAGGAAAGAAGGCATGGTTACCTTTGCTGCTTTAACCAGCCGGTCACAGGTTCCACAGTGGTACAGGTTATCACAGTCGAAAACTTCCTCTTCCACATACATGTTCCAGAGTGCATCTTCTAAACCAGATACGTTTTTGACTGCTACTGTCAGATCCAAGAAGTCTTCCTGAAATATAAAAGAATATTATATTGAGAGAACAAATGATTTCACAGAAGTTTATAACTGAAATATATATTTGGAACGATCAAATATATTCTTCTATTTGCACATAAGATATATATGCCATGGTTATATACTGTAAATTCTTATCACTAAATTATTATTCTTTCTAAGTCAAACTATAATTTCATTTCAAGTACATTAAGAAAATAGTTTATAAGAAAAAGGCTTATGAGTTTAAATGTAGAGGCAATAAACCTCATGTTTCCCCAGGAAATAAATTGTAAAACCTGAGTTTAAGTAACACACACACACACAACACATAACGCATATGCATATGTACACACACACACACACACACATATTCACACACATGCACACATACACACAGTTGGTTAGTATTGCTTTACTCTTTAAAATGATAACAGCAACCCCTAGGCAGAGTTGAATTTTTCTAATGTAAACTTCCTCATTTTCTTTTGCTAAGATTGGTTTAAAATATGCCAAGAAAATGACAAGAAAAAAATATTTTGATACAGATTAAACAGGTATTTCTATGAAAATTAAAAAGATGGCACTTTGTAAAAAGGAAATCTCCTAAATCTACTGTGGGAACCCATGAAGTTTTCCTAGTGAGATTTGAGCTTGCTTTACCCAGCAGAGCTGCATTAGAGGACTGCTTGACCATGTGTATGGTTACTAGGTGATTGGAAGGGTCTACACCTGGCTGAGCTAGGGGGAGGTCTTGGCTCCACCCCTTGGCATTCCTATAAATAGCACTTTAGAAGAAACAGAAGGGGCCGGTGGATAATGATCCAGGCCCTCCCCAGGCTATCCTGTGTTTCTATCTGTTTTTCTCCCTTCCATCCTTCTATCTAATATCTCTTATCCTTCTCTGCTCAAGAGTTCCCTGTCATAAAATGTGGGAGTTAGTCTCCCAGCTGGGCTCCCACAAATGGTGCCAGGAACAGGGACAGGGGACTTCGCAAAGGGAGAGAAGGGGCATCATGGGTGTAAGGGGGGCATGTCTGATAAGAAATTAAAAATAAAGGCGATAGTATTTTATTGTCAGGAGTGAAAGTGAGGCAGCTGAATGCCAAAGTTGAAAAGTGAGGCTGCAGTGAATATTTCTCTCTATCTAGGTTTCTTCCTTTTCTCTTAGTTTCTACCTAGGAAAAGAAAAAAAAAGTAAGGTAGAATGTAGGGATATAGTGTAGAAAAAAACTTAGGGCAAGAAGGAAAAAAATAAGGTAGAATATAGTGTAAGAAAAAAACTTAGGATAAGATAAGCAACAGGATAGAGGAACTATGTCCTTGAATTTCCAGCTCTGGGTCTATGAATGCAAACTCCTGGGGAAGAATCAGATAAAATATATCAAAGATGAGAAAAACGGGCAGAAAAAGATTCCTGTGGAAGCTTTTGGCCTGTGAACAGCTTAGATTTCAGTCCTGAGCAGCAGAGGAAAGAATCTTCCCTGAGGTGGATATGAGTGAAATAAAACTCTTCACTCCAATGACATTGTTAACTGTATGAAAACATCATACCATCAGAATTAAGTTTCCTTGGCCATAAAGCCAAGTTTAGGGAACAGAAGTCTTGGGAAAAACTTAGTAATCTTTCTCTCAAAAACTGACCGCTTTCTTGGGAAAAACTTAGTAATCTTTCTCTAAAAAATTGAAAGCTTTTCAGGTCTTTCATTTTCAGGTTTTTTTTTCTTCCTGTAAGGGCAGAATTAAACTCACCTGGAAAATCTATCAGAATGAGAAAAATCACCTGTAATTGCTCTAGAAAAAAAACAAAAAACCTCTTGGAATATGACAAATCCTCTCTGCTAGTCCTGTCTCTCCTTCAAGCCAGTAGTAGAAAAACAGCAGCCAGAATACCCTGTAGCCAGAGCCCTTCCCAAGAAAATGCAGGCAGAAAGCTGAGGAGGGCTGCAGCAGAGGCAGTGCAGGACCCGGGGAGGGGCTGCTGGTGTGGAAAAAGCAGTTAGCAGAGCCTGAGCATTGCGTCAGTGACAGGGACTTCATCTGCGGGAGGAGACAAGCCAGAACAAGACAAAGACCTATCCCGGAGGGAATCTCTCTGAAAAGGATGAAAAAGCTTTTATTTCAAGTACTTTCATCTTCTTTCACTGACCTGGTAAGACAGGGGAGCAAGCCCCATGGGTCTTTGCTTCTGGCACCAAAGCTCCTGTCTGAATGAGCATGGGCAGACCAACGTGACCTGCTCTGGGCAAAGTGCCAGGTAAAGGAAATACACCTATCAGTGCCAGCTCAGGGAGAACAGAAATCTCCCGTAGTAAAAGAGCAAAATCTTGACTCAGAAACCTCCCGTGGTAAAAGCAAAAGCTTGAACACAAACCGTGTAAACGGAAACGGGAAACGGGAGTGTGGTGGACCAGAAAGGCAGTATGGGAAATGTAATTAGTTCATAACAGTATGACGATATAAAGAAAGGCAGCTTGGGAAATGTAGTCCGTAAAAAAGATACTGGTACTGCACTGACCCCAAACTCTGGTTGTTGTTGTTTTTTTCCCCAGCTCAAAATGCTATTTTTTCCACAAGCTTTGTTAGCTTGCCTCTCAAGAACTACAAACAGGTAGGCAATTAAAATGCTAATACCATTTGTCAACAAGTCACTTTGAAACCCTTTAGAAAACTAGGGAAAGAGGACCATACACTGGGAAATTGCTTTGGGTGTGAAAAAAGAGAAAACTTACAGGCTAATAAAAAAAAAAAAAATAAGAAACTTGGGTTGTGCTTGAAATCCAAGAGAGAAACATTGGCATCACTGAAACGCTCACGATAATCTTAAAAGGCAGCTTTCAAAAATTAAGAGGAAATTTTACCCTCAGTCAAACTTAGAGCCACTGATGAATTAGGCTCTGACTTCAAACTGTCAGGAAAACTTTTAGAATGATATCAAAGCAGACTATAAACTCTGAACTTTAGAAATGATTTGTGTACTTCCTGTCTTGTTAATAGTTCTGTTAAGAAATATTTTCTAGATGTTTGCTATAGAGTTTGCTTTTGAATGTAAGTTATATTAATAGATTCTTTCTAGGGGCTGGAGAAATGGCTCAGAGGTTAAGAGCACTGACTGCTCTTCCAGAGGACCTGAGTTCCATTCCCAGCAACCACATGGTGGCTCACAACCATCTGTAATGAGGTCTGGCGCTCTCTTCTGTGTACATAATAAATAAATAAATCTTTAAAAAAAGAGATTCTTTCTAGTATAAGTTATTTCTGTTAAGAGATTCTTCTAAATAAGTTTGTAAAATAGGTTTATAAAGTTTCCTCTTGAATATGTTTGTAAAAAGTGTAAACATTGAATGTAAAAAGTGTAAATGTTGAATGTAAAAAGTGTAAATGTTGAATGTAAAAAGTGTAAATGTTGAATGTAAATTTATAAAAAGTGTATAGTGATGTTCATATTAGAATTATTTTTATTACTCCATTAATATCTGTCTAGTCTGGACAAGTTAGGTAACACTAATTTTTAAAAGATAAACCAAATCAAATTAGAGGCATCTTGAAGTTTTTATTACTCTTTTACCCTCATATATTTGAATACTTTTTATGATAGCTTAAAATATAATTTTATGGTCTCAGTAGCCTCTGGAAAACTTAAGTGAAGGTGTCATAATTAGAGCTTTTCTGTCTTCTTTCTAGAAGTTTCTACTCCTTCTGTTTTTGTTTAGAAAGGGGTAGGCCTCCCACAAAGGGATAAGCTTCCCACAATCAACTTAGTTTGTAAAAGTGTCTTTATAATTAGCATGGGTTTTTGTTTACTTGAGTGGATACTTTGAAGTGATTTGAAATGACTGTTTTCTTCTGGGAATTAAAATAGCCTCTTGAAAATTTTATTGAACATCTGTTAGGAGAGAGTTTTGATTTAAAAAGGGCTTAGTGCAGCTAAGACTGCTGTAGTCACCTTAGACCCATTCCAATAAGGATATTCCATCTTTATTATCCTCTACTCCTTTACAGGGAAGTGTGGCAGCTATAAAGATCACTGTGGATGTTTGCAAGCTCTTAGCAGGGAGCTGAGTCAGAGCTGAGTTAGGCTCTGTACCCACTCCTGCCAGGGGCTGGTAGCCAAAGATGGACAACTTTCTTCTTTTTTTTTTTTTTTT